AGCGACCAGTTTTCTTTGTTTTTAAGGAACTTTTTCTTGTTGTTGAGGTGTCGAGTGTGACGATTCTGTTCGACGATGATGTCACCTATTTTGGCGGAAATCTCGAGCATTTCTTCGCTTGAATGCTAATCCTTAATTACGGCGCACGACGTTCCTTTGTCGCAGCTACGGCGGGGATGCCTGTTGGAATGATTCGATAATAGCGGATGAATCGGATGATTAGCTAGCTTAAAGTCAACCCCCGCTTGAACCCAGGTTCCATTTAAAGACGGAGTTCATGGTGAAAAGGCAGTTCACTAGAAATCAAGGTAGAGGTGGTCAGTGGTGCAGGGATGAAGAAAAACCATGAGAAACGGCCCAGAACCCGAGAAATGGGACCCTTCTTTGCCCGTTGATTTCCGCATTGATGCGACTCTCATCGGTGCTGCCCTCTTCAGTGCTAACTCTTTCGCAAGCGGCCAAATTCAGACAAAGAGAAAGTGGGCGGGCAGCGGCGGGAGCGGCGCTGGTATGACCCTGCTAGGCTAATGGCGACATAGTCTTCATTGCAAAACGCGCATCCTTAGAGAGCCCGCCTGCCTTTCCACTAGGTATATTTCCACTGACCTCCGACCTTATACTGATTGCTCTTTTAAACCCTGCCACGAGAATGGTGATATCTTTCCTGAGGCAGATCGTATTATAGGAATCATGCCTTTTACAAGCTTCCTTTTCTAAGCATTTGAAGCGTTTTGGAATCCATTGTAGGGAAAATCATGGCTCAAATCACCTGCACGAATTACAACGCAGGTTGGGGACATGGCGTATCCCTGAAGAGCCTCATTTTTTGCTTACTAATCACAGAATGAATAAGAAATTGACAAGCGTGGACGTCTCATCGTCGATGTACATGTGATTGACATCTTTATGCATGATCGCATAAGAAATGACGTCCAACGTCGCTGTGAGTGTCACAGAGTGTTTCACGGATCATTCAACTTGATACACCCACCATATTCCCCCGGGGGCCCTGCAACGATTGAAAAGAAAGTGGAGATTCGGACATTTACTCGTTTTATCCTCAAACTTTTGCCACCCTGATAGGTACCTACAATTTCTTCTCGCTTTTGAAAAGTACTTTCCGATTTGAGGAAGTGACCCAGTTATCTGCCAGCTAATCGATATATCGATTTTTGGAACATGTCGAAGGATCAATATATCGATTACTCGGTCACGGGATTACCAATGTCATGGCGTGCGAACTTGTATTGTGGGCTTGAAGAAGATCTCTACTGAAACACCTCGTATCTACCCACTTGGACTATCGACATATCTCAAGAACAGGGAACCCGGTAGCAAACTACGGTAGTTGTCCTTCCTGTCACATGGCTTTTTGGGCCTGAAAAACGGTAATTGCCGTCTCGTTACGAGTAAGGTGTTGTGTCCAATAAAATCATCGTGCATGTTCAGTAATCTCGTTTCCACACAAGGAACAACATGCTAACGATGCAACGATGCGAATGTCGGCGGGTCCTGACACGATAACAAGACGAACTTTGCACAGTGGTGTACTGTAAGCAAAAACGATTAGCGACTGATTGTCTCAGACACGGCAAATCTAATTTTGTTCTATTTTTGAATCAGTAACATTTCTGACGCGAAAACACGTCTGCTATCAGGGCACCAGAAATGAACGTGACAGGGTTACCAGAAGGGGGGGGGGCTGAGGCTTTGAGTCCGGCCAGGGTTCACTCATCCAGAGTTTCACATGGCAGAATTGAGGATGAAAATTTGAAGCCAACGGAGATTCTTACTCCATAGATCGACCGGTCTTTCAAGGGGTCCTTATTAAGGAGCCGCTGCAAAACTACCGTAATCTCGGGGTTCATCCAGTGTGCCGCATTAGAATCCCACTAAGTGAACCCGGTTATTTGATCTGTTCGCACCTCGAAGTCTAATCGTCGCCGTTTAATTATGGGTGGAACTTCCAGTTTGATGTTTGATGCCCCCAGGGAGCACATGTGGGTCATCAAAAATCGCCTACTTGGAATGAAGGAACATCAGGGACCACCAAGAGAGAGCATGTGGGTGCGTGCGATTCAGTGCATATATTGCCGCCCTGGATGTGAAAAAATTAATTATTTGGCTCACGTATTTTAATTGAGCTGCATAGATAGCTGAGGCGTATAATGAAGTGCAGTAGGGAGGGGGTTTGTCACTGAGAAGAGAGATGTCTCCAGCGATAATTTCAGTGAAGGGCTTGACGGAGGCATATTCTGTTGGCAAAGCCTTCCATGTCTCTAAAGGGAAGGCATGGGTTTCAATGAAAAGTGAGCCTTTCAAACGGCTTCCCATTAATCTCGGCATGATTATAGCCTTCCGAAACTTGGACTTCACTCTAGCTGGGCAAAAATGGTCAGTGTCATGTGCGTCAGAATGTCTCTAAAGTGTCACGATGCTCAGGGTTACCCGTGGGGCCAGCAGACCGAGGATCAGAGCCCCTACCTTTGGCTAAGGTATCAAAGACCATCTGGGCCAGAGATGCAATTTTTTGATTACTTTGACGAACTCGTCAACGATTGGTCTCCTGGGAAGTTTACGAACACCAGTGACCTGACGGCTGGTTGTCTGCAAGTTTTAAGTAGGGGTTGAACGGAAAGATCAACAACTATCGTGTCCTCGTGTACTCTAATAAGGACCTAATGGCACACAGAGAAAATTGAGTGGGTTTTTGTGTAATAAATAATCAATGGAAGGACTGCTTATAAGAATCTGTTAAAAAGAGCTCCGCTACGACGCCTTATTCATTAGAATTGGCAGCTTCAAAACTCAAAACCCTATAAAATTGCCATTGTCCTTTTATTTATTACGCTAACTTTATTTTTTATGTACAAGTCTTGCGTTATTTTATGCTGCACTTTAATAAAACAGATAATTATTACACCACATTTATTTTTTGCATTTATCATATCTACTAGTATCCTTTCTATATTTGATCACTTGCCAGATATGCCTTTTTCTTTTTGGAGAATTTTATTCAAAATGGATGTTTTATAAAACCACCTCACTGTTGGGCTAGTTTGTTGATTGATATCACTCTTTCAATCGATCTCCATCCTGTTACTAATTCCTTTGGTTTCTGAAGGCCTAATATTTTGAACATCGAACAGAAACGATGGTCGTTGCCTGCTGTCGCATTATGGATCTTCGATCACCGCGTTACTCACGCGTAAAGCAAGTACTACAATACTGGTCACACGCGCGTAAAATCAATACCTATTTCTTAACACATTACTAACTCGCGCGTATATTATGAAGTCTGCTATATTAGCGTTGTTCGCCAGATATGCCTTTTTCTTTTTAGAGAATCTTATTCAACACGGATTTTTCATAGAATTACCTCACCGTTTAATTTGCTTATTGATTGGTATCACCTTTTTCAATCGATTTTCTTCAGAACCTGCACTGGCGATGATGTGATCGGATGCGCGTATTTGGGTATGCTGGCGCATGATAAGTCCGAAATCGAACAATGGAAAAACACCGTCGAACACATGGGAAAAGAATACAAGGTAAACTGAATCGATTATTGATTACCGTGGGAATAATTGATAATGATAATTTCAGGGCACACACAACTTGAAACCGCCTCATTCTGCGCCACCGGTGCATGTGGCGGAAACGGGCGACCATGGAGAGGATGATGACTAGTGCGATCGATTATCGATTGCTAAATGATCACGGATTCTACCAGGAAGACAATTCGGTGGTTTGACGCGTGTACTCTGCGTCTCTGCCCTGAAATCGTCAGACAGCAGACGGTGATAAGGTCACAAGTACCTCACTTTTAGCACTTCTCTAATACGTTTCTAGTTGCGCTGTGTCTTAATGAGGCTAGTGATAGTACGGGTAGTTGATCGATTATTGATTTTTGTTTCTTCAGCACGCATCACACACACGCGCACATACATATTTGGGTACCTTATATGTATATTTGGTATTATCACAGCATATTTTTGTTATATTGATCTCACTGATATTGGTCGATATTTTCTTGGCATTATTTTCATATATTGTGATCTCGCGAATGATAATCAGTCATAAGCTCTGTTCATTTATATCGACTTTGCTGTCGTTGTTCTAATCAATATGTTATTGATTGCAGCAGGCTCTATCGTTCCGTGGCTTTCATCATTATCATCATATCTTATTATCATATATTATGATTTATTAATCAATAAATCTTGCAATTTAACTCTGTTTTACTGGCACTCAATGTGTAATCAAACAGAAACCGCATCACCAAACAGCATAGAATACAAAAAGGAATAAATAAAATGCATAAATACGTTTGAAGGGACATTCCACGATTAATCTAAGGATAGAGCTATCCACAAAAGTTGACATGCCACTCCACTGCTTGGAAGAGCGTTAGACCCCATCGAAGTGGTGCCGATGACCGCCGATGATCGAGGGTCATGGCTTGCGACGCAGCAGTCTACGCGGTGGAATGTCTGCGTATCGCTCGTCCGTTGTGCTCTCTCGCCTCGACACAGTGTTTGACTCTTTCGGTCTCGTAGACGCACTTCCCAAAAAAGAAAGATTCTCGTTGTCGGTGATTACTTTTTAACTTTTCCTCACCGGTGGTCACATCACATATCTGATAGTTCGTTCTCCGGCGGAATAACCAGCTTCAATGACCTTATAAAGTACCTTCATAAGGAGAACTGATCCGAGCCTCTCGAAGCCAACCACAAGAGCCTGGAATACTCAATATATTACGCAATGTGAAAAAACTGATCAGGACATGCTCTAAACAAGGTCGTCCGTCTGCTGGTGCAGGCATCAACCAGGAGACCGTATTTGCGGTTTCGGGAGCGAATGTTAAAAGAGTGAATAGAGAGGTTGTAATTGTGGAAGATGAGAGGGCTGAGCAGAGGGGATCGTTTTTGACGGACTTTTTCGATTTTTGAAGGCGCA